GTGGGACCCGGGGACTTTTGGCGAATGGAATTTTAGGCTCGGGGATGCACGGCGCTTTTTTTATTTTTACTGGCTAAAAGTTATGTCAATCAACACCAGGCTACTCCTACTGCATTCCCTAGACTCTGACGCGTCGAAGGAGGGCTCATAGACTGAAATCGACCGATGATAGGCTGAGCTAGACCTCCACAGCAACTGGAATTCAGGCGAGAAAATCCCATGGATGAGAGACAGAAACAGGCTCAGAGAGGATTCTGGCTCTCAAAATGTTGCCAAACTGCTGTATTTGGATGTATTGAACACTATTAGTGATAAAACAAGTGAAATATATAGTTATATAGTATATAAAATTACAATGGAACAGCTGGAACATGTGACAATTCTGCTTGACCCCGCCTGACCTCTCGGTACTAAAACCTCTAACTTTGCCCTGCTTCACTTTATCAAAGCCAAATTTTTTTTAGGGACTCCTGACATGTGCGATGATTTGGGAGAGTTTTTAGGCTTTCAGCTGCATTATTTCAAAGAAATAATATCAATAAAAGTGCTTTTTTTTCCAGGCAACCCTGAAAATTTTCAATTTGAGCTGTGTGCCAACTTCATTTGCTCTTAACCAGTAACATATACACAATATTTACACATCTGAACAAATCTCACAAGTGGTATCTGTATTAGAACATATAATAAAATAATTAAAATAGACCTTGTAGTTACAGAATTACAGTCTTTTTAGTATGGGTATGCCATTTTCGAGCAGAGGCCTAAAAATAGGCTCAGAGTAGAAAAGGAATTGAATTGTTTTAAAAAGTAAATTTTTCCCCTGTGAAAACAGGTGGAAACTTTGAAAGATCATCTTGGCAAAACATTGTTTTTTGCCAAGATGTCTAGAACAATCTAAATCAATCTTCTCGTGTTAACTAAAAGATCTCATTGCAACAAAAGAATAGGCTTTTCATAAAAAGCACATTTATTGTGGCAGGCTGCAGTACGTTCATAGTGTAATGTGTTCATGTGTTACTTGAATTCTATTTCCTCCAGACTTCATTTTTAAAGCATCTTATTTGGACAACAGGCTGTAAAGCTGGGGCAGCCAACACACTTTGTCGGACACACAACTTTGTACAAAAATTTGACAAAGAGTAGATTGAATTAATTTCAAAACAACTCAATTGCTACATTGTCATTTGTATATTTAATAAAGAATATTTTGTGTTTCTTGCTCACCGTATGTTTGGTTGTAAATCTTTCTTTGGGGTGTCTTTGTGTCTTTCTTTGTTTACAGTGGATTTGCATTTAGGGTTTGTGGTTCTGATAGTTTGCTCTTATATAGCAAACTATATGCACTAAATGCAAGCATGTTTGGGAATACTCAACATCTCAATCAGCAAAATCAGTATATTTTAATGACTATAAATCATTATAACATGAAAATATCTTCCTTTCACGAGAAACTGAGCTGATATATTTTTAATCTTGGTATGACTGTCATATCTACATTATGAGGACAAAACAGTCCGTTATCTGAATAAGTTTGTCAAGAAGCTGTCTTGTGTGTGGCTTTTTTAAACTGATGTGTTTTACAGCTCAAAATGACTCAATAGGGTGACAGTTGAACTTTTTGAGATGTCATTTTCAGATTGTGTTATATATTGATGTCACCATGTCAAGAAATTGCTAATCAGAACACATCATTTTGTCCATACGACAAACCATACCCAACCAGCAGTGTCCTTTCTGTTTCACAAAATAGTGAAAACAGGGAAATAACGTTGCGGTATCGACGATGTAAAAGAAAAATTAGAAAAAATATAATTCAGTGAATATTGGCCAAAAACGTACTCTACATCACATCACGGCGTTAGCCTAAAATATAAAACAAGTATTTGTTCTGTTGGAAAAAACCTTGTAGAGTTTCCTGGGACTGAAAAGTAGACGTATATCTTTGTGAATGATTGAAAGCTAAAATCTGTGTGTTTCCTGTGTCAGGCGGTGCCAGCTGAACGTTACCTGTCGGGAGCAGTTGAGAAGAGGCCATGATAAAACTGGCAACGCGGACAACAGCAACACATAGATTACCACCAAAACTCGTCGAAGAAGAATCATAGTGGAGGAAGAAAGCTTCAACCCACGTCCCTGCTATGAAAGAAACATGTAAGGTAGAATTTCAAACCACTACACCTGAGCGGAAACAAAATGAGAGTGCGTGACTGCCGCTCGTGTCGATAACTGAAAACTTCCTGCTTGCTACGGAAAGTACCTGCTGTGTTTACAGTAAATTATCCTCTGCTGCCTTCAGGGGACTTGGGAATATAGAGCACTATTCTGTTGAGTTTGGCTGCTTCTGATAATGATGATTAGATAGAGAATATACTGGAGCACCCCTCACCCCTTTAAACTTACTGTATATAGTCGTATGAGAAAGAATAACACGAGAGAAACGTGTTGGAAATAAATTAGACTTTTGTCTTGATTATTCTAAGAGTTATAGTTATAGATTTCTTAGATTTGGATATAATCTATGAACCAGCCTATTACAAATGTTTTTTTAATTCAATATTATTAATTGAACTATTGAGAAAGGAATAGTATTAAGGATTAAGGAATCTGAAAACTTTTCATGGACTCAGTGCCCAGGACCCCCCACTTCAGGAATCACTAGTTTAGAGCCTAATTAACGGCAAGGAAATCACAGACAGACCTCAAATTCTGCAAATAGGTTTGTAGCGTAGTGCCATTTTGATATGAGAGCTTATGTTACGAAATAAAATATTGAACTGATTAATTTGCTATTTACATAATTCTTTGCAACACATGATGCAAATCCAGAAGAAAGATGTGTCTATGGCATAGTGTTTGCCAAGTAGAGCGGAGGTCAAATTTCCTCTCTGTCCAGAGCTGTAGCCAACATTTTGGAAATACTGAGGCCATTGCATTCTCTGCCCCATCCATCCTCAACCTTTACATGCATATCTGAGCATCTGAGTCCAAACAAAGGCTTGATGATCCTGTACAGTTTTTCAACTCCAAGTACTGAAATAAGCATAATCAGCAAACTCCATGTAAGGCTGAGTGACAACAAATTTCTTTTATTGATTTCTTTCTTCTAGTATAATACCCTTGTAAAGCACTTTGTGAATTATATCTGTGAAAAGCGTTATATATATATATATATATATATATATATATATATATATATATATATACATGTTTTACTAACTACCTATATTATCAGGTGAGTACTGCAGAGTAAAAAACTACTGACATACTGTACCATGCAATCAAATCCATTTTTTAAGATTTCCTTCCACAAGCATTTCACTTTATTTGCACATAATCGGACAAAAAACTTTAAATAAATAATCCAGCACAAAGAATATAGCCATTGATTTTGAATATGAAAGCTGAATGGAGGAGTCATTTCGACCAGGACATTTTTCCCATAGACATTGAATGCAACATAAATAGTGATTCAGGTTTCTTCCGTGTTGTGTGGGCTTCTTCTGTTGTCTTCCGTTGTTCAGTCTACAATGAACATATATTTAAACCAGATGGTGAATCAGAAAACTATTCAAATATAAGCTCTGATCTTTCTTCACTCTGGTATGAAACTACAGTCAGTCAGTCCGATCGGCTGCAGCGTCCAACCACATAACCGATGAACAATGAGGGGGCGTGTCGTCGGTTAAAACACTTCCTGGAAGGATGTTGTCGTGCGTCCTCGCTCATGGCTCCTCGGAGATCCCTCCTCGATCCTCAAGCTTTGCTCCTCAGATCTAGCAGGCCCAATCCTAATGTCCCCCCTAAACCCTAAACGTCGCCTGGTAAGTGGTTGAGTGTGAGAGACTGTGGGTACTTCTCAAGTCTCTTAAGTGTCGTTTCCTCGCTCCTCGATCGTCACTTGAACCGGAAGTTGTTTCTGCGCGGCCATATTGACGGACGTCCCAAAGCTCTAATGTAGCTCTGAGAAATGGACAAACAACTTTCTCCATTTATAAGAAAGATTTGTGTTTTCATGATGTGATATTTCCCTCAATAACTTTTATTATGAATACAATTAAAGTCAGAGAGAGCTGGAGAGACAAAACACTTTTTACATCATTCCTGAGTGTTTGATGAGTTGTATCATTTAAGAGAAACAATAATCATATTCTGGGTTATTTAATAATGACGCCACAGTCACAATTTCACAGTTTCAGGCTTGGAAGAGGCCAAAATTGGATTTTGTGGAAGTAAACAGTTTCAAAGATTTTTCTTTCAATAGAAACTGTTGCTAACACACCTTTACTGGTTTAAGGTACATTCTCAGCCTTTTATGCTCTTAAAATACGTTTCAGGCTTGGAAGAGGCCAAAAGTGGATTTTGTGAAAGTAAAGTTTCCAAAAACTGGCTCAGGGCAGTTGATGTCACTGTTTCATGATGTTTTCATTACAACCTGCTTACCCACCTTTACTGGTTTACGGTACATTCTCAGCCTTTTATGCTCTTAAAATACGTTTCAGGCTTGGAGGATGCCAAAAGTGGATTTTGTGAAAGTAAACCGTTTAAAAGATTTTCTTTCAACAGAAACTGTTGCTAACACACCTTTACTGGTTTAAGGTACATTCTCAGCCTTTTATGCTCTTAAAAGACGTTTCAGGCTTGGAAGATGCCAAAAGTGGATTTTGTGAAACTATGTCTACTTTCACAAAATCAACTTTTGGCCTCCTCTCTG